CCCCCGGAGCCTTCTCTTCTCCAGGCTGAACAGCCCCAACTCCCTCAGCCTGTCCTCATAGGAGAGGTACTCTCCAGCCATCTGATCGTCTTCGTGGCCTCCTCTGGACCCACTCCAACACATCCAAAAGTAGTTCAGACACTGCGTTTGGCCTCCAACACATCCAAAAGTAGTTCAGACACTGCGTTTGGCTACTTAGTGACCAAGCTTGAGGATCCCCACACCAGGCTTTTGTTCATTCCCCATGAGGGTATTTAGATGACTGTAGCTGAGCAGAATCTTAAGCTTCTCTTCATTAGAGCTGAGTAGACTGAACTCACCAGGCACAACATGAGAGGTATCACTGAACGCTCCTCTCCTCCAGCTCACCGCTGACCTTCATCCATCCTCCCTCCCCAGCACCCCTCATCCTCTCCAACTCGCACACAGTCCCGTGGCAGAGACACAACAGCTCCTGCCCACCCCGGGACCCTTCAGGCACCCTCCCCAGCAGCTCCCCAGCCACCGCACCCCTCCAGCCCCCTCACGCTTCCGACTCCGCTGTACGGCATCCCCGGCACCACCAGCAGCCAGACCCAAGCCCAGCACTCTCCTTCACCAAAGGCTCCCCGTGTCACTGCTCAACAGCAAGAAATAAAGTATTTTCTTCCTTTAGCAGAGTCTGGTTTGACTGTCATCTCTCTCCAGCAACACGGAGGAATGCGAACTCTCTGAGGGGGGTCTCCACGAGGAAAAGGAGGTTGCCTTTCCTAGCACTTTATAACAGGGGTTTTTTTTGTGAGTCAAAGACAATTAATTTTAATTTTGTTCCTCCAATAAACACTGCAGTTCAGGAAAGATTTTCTGTTTAGACCCCAGTGTTGACCACGGTCCCATCCAGGATATAAATCTATGGTGGCCAAAGCACTCGCACTTCTCCTTTGTGCTGATCTCACAAACCTCAGCTATTCAGTCACTTATAGGGGGGGGAGAGGGGGGGAACAACGCATCGGAAGCAATTACTCACCCACTCTGGGGCAATCTCCTGTAAAATTATCATGGAAAAATAAAGCACTAAATAATTTAAAAACGAACAAAATTCTAGCAAGGTCTCAGCCCAAAAAGCTGCCACACGGTGAGTGTTATTTCAGTGTACGGAAATGGTGAAAAGGAGGGGAAAGCAAATAAATTTGGAAATAGAAGTGATATAAGAAGTTAAAACCAAGAAAGGAGAAGGCTACAGCACAGTTAAGAAGAAGATGGAGGGATTCATTAAGTATATGAGGAACAGAGCCCTGCCATTAGTAACAGCCTGGATCTGACACAGGACAGCAATAATTAAAATGTTGCTTGTAACAC